TGTGTGTCTGTACTTGTATGTATGTCTGTGTGTGTCTGTCTGTGTGTCTGTACGTGTATGTGCGTCTGTATGTGTGTCTGTATGTCTGTATGTGTGCCTGTGTGTCTGTACTTGTATGTGTGTGTGTCTGTATGTGTCTGTTTGAGTGTGTATGTGAGTGTGTGTGTTTGTGTCTGTGTGTGTCTGTATGTGTGAGTGTCTGTATGTGTGTCTGTGTGTGTGTCTGTACGTGTATGTGTGTCTGTGTGAGTGTCTGTGTGAGTGTCTGTGAGTGTCTGTATGTGTGTCTGTGTGTGCCTGTGTGTCTGTACGTGTGTGTGTGTCTGTTTGAGTGTGTATGTGAGTGTCTGTGAGTGTCTGTGTGTGTCTGTGTGTGCCTGTGTGTCTGTACGTGTATGTGTGTCTGTGCGTGTATGTGTGTCTGTACTTGTATGTATGTCTGTGTGTGTCTGTCTGTGTGTCTGTACGTGTATGTGTGTCTGTATGTGTGTCTGTATGTCTGTATGTGTGTCTGTATGTGTGTCTCTATGTGTGTCTGTGTCTGTTTTGAGTGTGTATGTGAGTGTCTGTGAGTGTCTGTATATGTGTCTGTGTGTGTCTGTGTGTCTGTACATGTATGTGTGTCTGTGTGAGTGTCTGTATGTGTGTCTGTGTGTGCCTGTGTGTCTGTACATGTATGTGTGTCTGTGTGAGTGTCTGTATGTGTGTCTGTGTGTGTCTGTGTGTCTGTACGTGTATGTATGTCTGTGTGTGTGTCTGTTTGAGTGTGTATGTATGTGTCTGTTTGAGTGTGTGTGTGTTTGTGTCTGTGTGTGTCTGTATGTGTGTCTGTATGTGTGTCTGTGTGCGTGTCTCTATGTGTGTCTGTGTCTGTTTTGAGTGTGTATGTGAGTGTCTGTATATGTGTCTGTGTGTGTCTGTGTGTCTGTACGTGTATGTGTGTCTGTGTGAGTGTCTGTGTGTGTCTGTGTGTGTCTGTTTGAGTGTGTATGTGAGTGTCTGTGAGTGTCTGTGTGTGTCTGTGTGTGCCTGTGTGTGTATGTGTATCTGTGCGTGTATGTGTGTCTGTACTTGTGTGTATGTATGTCTGTGTGTGTCTGTCTGTGTGTCTGTACGTGTATGTGTGTCTGTATGTGTGCCTGTGTGTCTGTACGTGTATGTGTGTGTTTGTGTCTCTGTGTGTCTGTTTGAGTGTGTATGTGAGTGTCTGTGAGTGTCTGTATGTGTGTCTGTGTGTGCCTGTGTGTCTGTACATGTATGTGTGTCTGTGTGAGTGTCTGTATGTGTGTCTGTGTGTGCCTGTGTGTCTGTACGTGTATGTGTGTCTGTATGTGTGTCTGTGTGTGTGTCTGTGTGTGTGTCTGTGTGTTTTAAGTGTGTATGTGAGTGTCTGTATATGTGTGTGTGTCTGTGTGTCTGTACATGTATGTGTGTCTGTGTGAGTGTCTGTATGTGTGTCTGTGTGTGCCTGTGTGTCTGTACGTGTATGTGTGTGTTTGTGTCTGTGTAGTACACAGTGGCTAAATGGGGGCTCTGGATGGGTGCAAGGGGCTGGTAACCCCTCCACCTTCAATAAATGTACCACTAAACCACGTCTAAAATATGTAACTAATAAGCTTGTGCCGGAGGCCCCGGGGGGACAGGCGTCTATGACGTCTCCTGGCCAAAGCACCATTTGGCGGAGCCAGGAGATTGAATCTCTAACCTCGGGGCTCCTCCAGAAACAACGAAAAGCCACTACGGGTGGCCACGTGGAATGTTCGAACGCTCACTGCGGAGGAGAGGCTGCCACTCCTCTGTCGGGAGCTGGACCGGTACCGCCTGGATCTCTGTGGCATTCAGGAGGTCCGGTGGACCGGTTCTGGCTCCTGCCACCATGAGGGGTGGACAGTCCTTTACTCGGGGCAGCAGACTGCCAAACAACAGGGAGTGGCTCTTCTTCTGAACAAAAGAATGAAGGGAGTGTGGGAGCGTGGCGGTGAGGTGTGGGAAGCTGTAAGCCCCAGGCTACTTTGGGCTCGCCTTCCCATCAACCGGAGGCGAGGAGTGGTGGTCGTGGTTACTTATGCCCCCACCGAAGATGAATATCCGTGGAGGGATACAGGCAAAGCCGATGAGTCAGATGCCTTCTATGACTTCCTGTCACAGGTGCTGGCTAAAGTGGCACCTCGGGATAGAGTCATCTTGTTGGGTGACTTCAATGCCCGAGTTGGTCATTATGCTGGCACCTGGTCTGGAGTGATTAGAAGGCATGGGCCAGATCAGCTCAATAACAACGGTAGGAGGCTGCTAGATTTTTGTGCAGCCCATGAGCTTGTAATTACCAACACGCTGTTCCGGCATCGGCGCATCCACACAGCATCATGGATTCATGCCGGGTCCAAGCAAGAACATCTGCTGGACTACATAGTGACGGACCAGCGGATGCGAGCCCATGTCCTTGACACCAGGACCTACCGTGGAGCTGATCTGCCCTCTGACCATCGACTAGTCATCTGTAAGATGCGCCTGCCATTCTTCCACTCCGGTGGTGGGTGTACACCCAGGACCCCATTCAAACACTTAGTGGCCTGGTCTCAGCTAGCTGATGAAAGTTGCAAGCGAGAATTTGATCATCGCTTGCAGCTGGGATTGGCATCGTACCCGACTCCTCCTGATGTCGAGGGTAAATGGGCGAGGTTTAGGACTGTCACTCATGCAGAAGCAATGGTTGCTTTGGGTACACGGTCCAGACCTGCCCAGAGACCCTGGCTGACAAGAGGAGGTGTTCAAGCTGGCTGAGAAAAAGCAACAGGCCCACTGTCATCGGCTACAGAATCCCACGTCAGAGAATGAGGAGGCTTACCGCAGCCTTCGCTCGGAGGTTCGGAGAGCCGTGAGGTGCTGCAAGGATGGGTGGTGGTCGCTGGTTGCTGAGGAGATCCAACAGGGATGTCCTCTGGCTCCCACATTATTTAACATCTTTTTCGACCGCGTAGTTCGTGAAGCCTTCGATGGCTGTACCGGGGGAATCTCCATCTGGTACAAATACACTGGGAGGCTGATCGATGCCCGGGTGCGGTCAAGGGATGGCTCCCTATTGGTCAATCACGTTATGTATGCCGATGATTTGGTAATAGCTGCTCATTCAGAGGCGGAGTTGGAGACGCTGCTGCTGAGACTGGAGCGTGCCACTAAGAGGTGGGGCCTTACCATCAGCCCCACCAAAACTAAGCACCTGCTTGGATATTTTGTACCATCGGACACTCCACCCCCACAACTCCGAATCGGTGATGGGGCAGTTGTGGAGAGAGTGGAGAGTTTCCCATACCTAGGCAGTGTGCTTATGACTGGCTCCAGTTTAACAGCAGAGGTCTCACTCCGAATCAGTCGAGCGGCAATATCTTTTCATCGGTTGCGTAACGCTGTGTGGAAGCTACCTGGTCTGTCACTCTGCACTAAGCTTCAGGTCTTCTCGGCCATGGTCATTCCCTCCCTCCTCTACACTTGCGAAACGTGGACCCCCCTAATGGAACATCTTCGCCGGTTAGAAACATTTAGGCTGGCCTGCCTACGATCCATCCTGGGTTTAACCAGACTGGATTGTGTGAGGAGCTCACAAATCCTTGAAAGATCTGGGCAAGGTCCCATCGGTGAGCTCCTCCGGCGGGCAAGGCTGCGATGGCTGGGTCATGTAGCCCGCATGCCCAGCCACCGCATACCTAAACAGCTTTTGTTCGGCCGGATCGAGGGGGCTAAGCGGGCGCGGCACGGGCTAGAGAAGAGATGGAGTGATGTGGTACAGGAGGACGTGGAGCTGAGTGGACTTGCCGATGACTGGTACCAGCGGTGTCAAGATCGGCCTCTGTGGAGGAGGCTCGTGAAGGACGCTACTGGGCAGTTGGAGGCAGTCGCCCTCCAACAACAGCGGAGGGCGGAGGAGCGACGCTCACAACAACGAGCGGAGCGCCGGGTGGCTAAAGCACAGCAGGTTGGCACAGTAGGGGGCACAGGTGGTGCATCAGCCAGTCATCTCAGTCATCTCAGTCAGTCGACCCGTGGCACCTGCTGGGTCTGCCCAGTGACCTCCTGCCAGCGGGCATTCGACACTTCACGTGGCCTCAGGGTGCACATAGCCTGGCACAAGCGTCGTGGTGACGTCACCGCCACTTAGTGGCGAATGGCGGTTGTTGTTGTTGTGTCTGTGTGTGTCTTGCTAGTCGCTACAACTAACAGCACTTGCCCCTACAGTCTGCTAGAGGCTACTCGGGGGAGCTTTGACTTTGTGTGATGTGTGTATGACTTGTCCTTTCCTGCACCCATCACCATCACCACCATCACCACAATCACTACCGCCATCATCACCGCTATCAACACCACCATCACCACAACCATCATCACCATCACCACAACCATCACCACCATCACTACCGTCATCATCACCGCTATCAACACCACCATCACAACCACTACCGTCACCATCATCACAACCACCATCACCACCATCACTACCGCCATCATCACCGCTATCAACATCACCATCACCACCATTACAACCACCATCATCACCACAACTGTCACCATCACCATCATCACAACCACCACCATCGCCAACACCGTCATCACCATCATTACCATCACGATCACTACCACCATCACTACCACCGCCATCATCACTTCCATCATCACAACCACCACCATCACCACCACCACCATTGTCATCACCACCACCACAACCATCACCACCACCACAACCATCACCACAACTACCACCATCACCACCACCATCACCACCACCACCATCACCACCACCACCACCGCCACCTCCATCACCACCACCACCACAACCATCACCATCACCACCACCATCACCACCATCACCACCACCACCATCACCATCATCACCACCACCACAACCACCACCACAACCACCACCACCACCATCACCACAACCACCACAACAACCACCACCGCCACCACAGCCCACATCAACAACCCAGCGCCCACACACACACCACACACCACCACACACACACCACCACCACCACCATGCTATCACCATCCACCACCACCACCACTCTCACCACCACCACCACTCTCACCAACCACCACCACCACCGCCGCCACCACCTCCGAGTGGGCCTGAGAGTGGGCGCCCTGTGCCTCGCCTGGTACTCCGTCAGCTCGGCCGGCAACGTCCTCAACAAAGTGGTGCTCCAGGGATTCCCGCGTCCGCTGACCGTGTCCCTGTTCCACATCGCCTCCGTCTGCCTGTACATGGGGCCCCTCGCGAGAGCCTGGAGGGTCCCCACGGGGCCTCCCATGCCCCGGGCCACTTTCAGGCGGCTGCTTTTTCCGCTCGCTTTCGGGAAATTTTTCTCGTCGGTGTCGGCGCACTTCAGCCTGTGGCGAGTGCCGGTGTCGTACGCGCATACAGGTCGGGAGGGGTGGTGGTGTGGGTGGGTGGGGTGGGTGGGTTGGTGGGGGGGTGGGTTGGTGGGTGGTGGTGGGGGGGGGTGGTGGTGTGGTGGGTGAGTCACCCACCCACTGATTGAGTGAGTGAGTGGGTGAGTGGGTGAGTGAGTGGGTGAGTGAGTGGGTGGGTGAGTGGGTGAGTGGGTGAGTGAGTGAGTGGGTGGGTGAGTGGGTGAGTGGGTGGGTGAGTGAGTGAGTGGGTGAGTGAGTGGTTGAGTGGGTGAGTGGGTGAGTGGGTGAGTGAGTGAGTGGGTGAGTGAGTGGGTGGGTGAGTGGGTGAGTGAGTGGTTGAGTGGGTGAGAGGGTGAGTGGGTGAGTGGGTGGGTGGGTGGGTGAGTGAGTCACCCACCCACTGATTGAGTGAGTGAGTGGGTGGGTGGGTGGTTGAGTAAATGAGTTGGTGGGTGAGTGGGTGACTGGGTGGGTGGGTGGGTGACTGGGTGGGTGGGTGGGTGACTGGGTGGGTGGGTGGGTGAGTGGGTGAGTGGGTGGGTGGGTGAGTGAGTGGGTGGGTGAGTGGGTGGGTGGGTGAGTGGGTGGGTGGGTGGTTGAGTAAATGAGTTGGTGGGTGAGTGGGTGACTGGGTGGGTGGGTGGGTGACTGGGTGGGTGGGTGGGTGAGTGAGTGAGTGGGTGAGTGGGTGGGTGGGTGAGTGAGTGGGTGGGTGAGTGAGTGGGTGGGTGGCTGAGTAAATGAGTTGGTGGGTGAGTGAGTGACTGGGTGGGTGGGTGAGTGAGTGAGTGGGTGAGTGGGTCGATGAGTGAGTGGAGTGAGTGAGTGGGTGGGTAGGTGAGTGGGTGAGTGAGTAGGTGGGTGGCTGAGTAAATGAGTGGGTGGGTGAGTGAGTGAGTGGGTGAGTGAGTGGGTGAGTGAGTGGGTGAGTGAGTGGTTGAGTGAGTGAGTGGGTGAGTGAGTGAGTGGGTGAGTGGGTGGGTGGGTGAGTGGGTGGGTGAGTGAGTGACTGGGTGGGTGGGTGGGTGAGTGGGTGAGTGAGTGGGTGAGTGAGTGAGTGAGTGACTGGGTGGGTGGGTGAGTGGGTGGGTGGGTGAGTGGGTGGGTGAGTGAGTGAGTGGAGTGAGTGAGTGGGTGGGTAGGTGAGTGGGTGAGTGAGTGGGTGAGTGAGTAGGTGGGTGGCTGAGTAAATGAGTGGGTGGGTGAGTGAGTGAGTGGGTGGGTGAGTGAGTGGGTGAGTGAGTGGTTGAGTGAGTGAGTGGGTGAGTGAGTGGGTGAGTGGGTGAGTGAGTGGGTGAGTGGGTGGGTGTGTGGGTGGGTGAGTCGGTGAGTGGGTGGGTGAGTGGGTGAGTCGGTGAGTCGGTGAGTGGGTGGGTGAGTCGGTGAGTGGGTGGGTGAGTCGGTGAGTGGGTGAGTGGGTGGGTGAGTCGGTGAGTGGGTGGGTGAGTCGGTGAGTGGGTGGGTGAGTCGGTGAGTGGGTGGGTGAGTGAGAGGGTGGGTGGGTGAGTGAGTGAGTTGGTGGGGTGGTGGGTGGGTGGGTGAGTAAGTTACTAAGTGAGTGAGTGGATGAGTGAGTGACTAAGTAAGTGAGTGGCTGGGTGAGTGAATGGGAGAGTGAGTGAGTGACTGAGTGACTAAGTTACTGAGTGGGTGAGTGAGTGGGTGAGTGAGTGAGTGACTAAGTGAGTGAGTGGGTGAGTGAGTGGGTGAGTGAGTGACTAAGTTACTGAGTGGATGAGTGAGTGACTAAGTTACTGAGTGAGTGAGTGGGTGAGTGAGTGAGTGACTAAGTGAGTGAGTGGGTGAGTGAGTGAGTGACTAAGTTACTGAGTGGGTGAGTGAGTGGGTCAGTGAGTGAGTGACTAAGTGAGTGAGTGGGTGAGTGAGTGAGTGACTAAGTTACTGAGTGGGTGAGTGAGTGACTAAGTTAGTGAGTGAGTGGGTGAGTGAGTGAGTGACTAAGTGAGTGAGTGGGTGAGTGAGTGACTAAGTGAGTGAGTGAGTGAAAGACTAAGTTACTGAGTGGGTGAGTGAGTGGGTGAGTGAGTGACTAAGTGAGTGAGTGGGTGAGTGAGTGAGTGGGTGAGTGGGTGAGTGACTGAGTGACTAAGTTACTGAGTGGGTGAGTGAGTGACTAAGTGAGTGAGTGAGTGACTAAGTGAGTGAGTGGGTGAGTGAGTGGGTGAGTGAGTGAGTGGGTGAGTGAGTGAGTGACTAAGTGAGTGAGTGGGTGAGTGAGTGACTAAGTGAGTGAGTGGGTGGGTGGGTGAGTGAGTGAGTGAGTGGGTGAGTGAGTGACTAAGTGAGTGAGTGGGTGGGTGGGTGAGTGAGTGAGTGAGTGACTAAGTGAGTGAGTGGGTGAGTGAGTGAGTGACTAAGTGAGTGAGTGGGTGAGTGAGTGACTAAGTGAGTGAGTGGGTGGGTGGGTGAGTGAGTGAGTGAGTGACTAAGTGAGTGAGTGGGTGAGTAACTCCTCACCACGTTCCTCACCAGTCAAGGCCACGATGCCCATCTGGGTGGTGCTGCTCTCTCGCATCATCATGAAGGAGAAACAGACACACAAGGTGACTACACTACACTATACACTACTACACTACACTATACACTACTACACTACACTATACACTACTACACTATACACTACTATACACTACTACACTATACACTACTACACTATACACTACTACACTATACACTACACTATACACTACTACACTATACACTACTACACTATACACTACTACACTATACACTACTACACTATACACTACACTATACACTACTACACTATACACTACTACACTATACACTACACTATACACTACTACACTATACACTACTACACTATACACTACACTATACACTACTACACTATACACTACTACACTATACACTACTATACACTACTATACACTACTACACTATACACTACTACACTATACACTACTACACTACACTATACACTACTACACTATACACTACACTATACACTACTACACTATACACTACTACACTATACACTACACTATACACTACTACACTACACACTACTACACTATACACTACACTATACACTACTACACTATACACTACTACACTATACACTACTACACTACACTATACACTACACTATACACTACTATACACTACTACACTATACACTACACTATACACTACTACACTATACACTACACTATACACTACTACACTATACACTACTACACTATACACTACACTATACACTACTATACACTACTACACTATACACTACACTATACACTACTACACTATACACTACACTATACACTACTACACTATACACTACACTATACACTACTACATTATACACTACACTATACACTACTACACTATACACTACTATACACTATACACTACTACACTATACACTACTACACTATACACTACTACACTATACACTACTACACTATACACTACACACTACTACACTATACACTACTACACTATACACTACTACACTATACACTACTACACTATACACTACTACACTATACACTACACTATACACTACTACACTATACACTACTACACTATACACTACTACACTATACACTACACTATACACTACACTATACACTACTACACTATAGACTACTACACTATACACTACACTATACACTACACTATACACTACTACACTATACACTACTACACTATACACTACACTATACACTACACTATACACTACTACACTATACACTACTACACTATACACTACTACACTATACACTACTACACTATACACTACTACACTATACACTACTACACTATACACTACTACACTATACACTACTACACTATACACTACTACACTATACACTACTACACTATACACTACACTACTACACTATACACTACACTATACACTACTACACTATACACTACTACACTACACTATACACTACACTATACACTACTACACTATACACTACACTATACACTACTACACTATACACTACTACACTATACACTACTACACTATACACTACTACACTATACACTACTACACTATACACTACTACACTATACACTACTACACTATACACTACTACACTATACACTACTACACTATACACTACTACACTATACACTATACACTACACTATACACTACTACACTATACACTACTACACTACACTATACACTACTACACTATACACTACATTACACACTACACTATACACTACACTACTATACACTGCACTATACACTACACTATACACTACTACACTATACACTACATTATACACTACACTATACACTACATTATACACTACACTATACACTACACTATACACTACACCACATTATACACTATACACTACATTATACACTATACACTACACTATACACTACACTACACTATACACTACTACACTATACACTACCCTATACACTACTACACTATACACTACTACACTACACATTACACTATACACTACATTATACAATACTACACTATACACTACACTATACACTACATTATACACTACACACTACACTATACACTACACTATACACTACACTATACACTACATTATACACTACACTATACACTACATTATACACTCCACTATAAACTACTATACACTACACACTATACACTACTACACTATACACTGCATTATACACTACACTATACACTACACACTATACACTACACTATACACTACACTATACACTACACTATACACTACTACACTATACACTACTACACTATACACTACACTATACACTACTACACTATACACTACTATACTATACACTACTATACAATACACTATACACTACACTATACACTACACTATACACTACACTATACACTACTACACTATACACTACTACACTACACTATACACTACACTATACACTACTACACTATACACTACTACACTATATACTACACTATACACTACACTACTATACACTACTATACAATACACTACACTATACACTATACTATACACTACACTATACACTACTATACAATACACTATGCACTACACTATACACTACACACTATACACTACACTATACACTACTATACACTACACTATACACTATACACTACACTATACACTACACTACTACACTACACTACTACACTATACACTACACTATACACTACACTATACACTACATTATACACTACACACTATACACTACACTATACTCTACACTATACACTACTACACTACGCTATACACTACTACACTGCACTATGCACTACACTATACACTACTACACTATACTCTACACTATACACTACTACACTATACACTACTATACACTACACTATACACTACTACACTATACACTGCTACACTATACACTGCTACACTATACACTACACTATACACTAGTACACTACACTATACACTAGTACACTACACTATACACTACTATACACTATACACTACTACACTACACACTACACTATACACTACTACACTATACACTACTACACTATACACTACTACACTATACACTACACTACACTATACACTACTATACTACACTATACACTACTGCACTATACACTACTACACTATACACTACTACACTACACTATACACTACTACACTATACACTACACTACACACTACACTATACACTACTACACTATACACTACATTATATACTACTACACTACACACTACTACACTGTACACTACACTATACACTACTACACTATACACTACTACACTATACACTACTACACTATACACTACAAACTACACTATACACTACAAATTACACTAGTACACTACAATCTAGCACTACAGATGTTGATGATGTTGATGTTGTTATTGATGATGTTGTTAATGTTGATGTTATTGATGATGTTGATGTTGTTAATGTTGATGTTATTGATGATGTTGATGTTGATGATGTTGTTGATGTTATTGATGTTGTTTGTTATTGATGCTGTTGTTGATGTTGATGGCGTTGATGTTGTAGATGTAGATGTTGTTGATGATGATGTTGATGTTATTGATGATGTTGATGTTGTAGATGATGCAGATGATGTTGTTCATGATGTTGATGTAGATGTTGTTGATGTTGTTGATGTTGTTGATGTTGTTGATGATGTTGTTGATGTTGTTGATGTTGTTGTTGATATTGTTGTTGATGTTGTTGATGTTGATGTTGTTGATATTGTTGTTGATGTTGATGTTGTTGTTGATGATGATGTTGTTGATGTTGTTGTTGTTGTTGATGATGTTGTTGTTGATGTTGTTGATGTTGTTGATGTTGTTTATGATGTTGTTGTTGTTGATGTTGTTGTTGATGTTGTTGATGTTGTTGATGTTGTTTATGATGTTGTTGATGTTGTTGTTGTTGATGTTATTGATGTTGTTGATGTTGTTGATGATGTTATTGATGATGTTGATGTTGTTGATGTTGATTTTGTTGATGATGTTGATGTTGTTGATGTTGTTGTTGATGTTGTTGTTGTTGTTGATGTTTTTGATGTTGATGTTAACGATGTTGACGATGTTGTTGATGTTAATGATGTTGATGATGTTGATGATGTTGTTGATGTTGTTGTTGACGATGTTGATGTTGTTGATGTTATTGTTGTTGACGATGTTGTTGTTGATGATGTTGTTGACGATGTTGATGATGTTGTTGTTGATGTTGGTGATGATGTTGTTGATGTTGTTGTTGTTGATGTTGTTGTTGATGTTGGTGATGATGTTGTTGTTGATGTTGTTGTTGATGTTGTTGACGATGTTGTTGTTGTTGTTGATGATGTTGTTGATGTTGTTGATGTTGTTGATGTTGTAGATGATGTAGATGACGTTGATGATGTTGTTGTTGATGTTGTTGTTGATGTTGTTGACGATGTTGTTGTTGATGATGTTGTTGATGTTGTTGATGTTGTTTTTGATGTTGTTGATGTTGGTGTTGATGTTGGTGTTGTTGATGATGTTGTTGATGCTGTTGTAGATGTTGTTGTTGATGATGATGTTGTTGTTGATGTAGATGATGTTGTTGTTGATGTTGTTGACGATGTTGTTGTTGTTGATGATGTTGTTGATGTTGTTGATGTTGTTGATGATGTTGTTGATGATGTTGTTGATGTTGTTGATGATGTTGATGATGTTGGTGTTGATGTTGTTGTTGTTGATGTTGTTGATGTTGTTGTTGATGATGTTGGTGTTGTTGATGTTGTTGTTGATGCTGTTGTTGATGTAGATGATGTTGATGTTGTTGATGTTGATGTTGTTGTTGATGATGATGTTGATGATGATGTTGTTGATGTTGTTGTTATTGATGTTGTTGTTGATGTTGTTGTTGATGTTGTTGTTGATGATGTTGTTGTTGATGTTGTTGATGATGTTGATGTTGATGATGTTGTTGATGTTGTTGATGTTGATGTTGTTGTTGATGTTGTTGTTGATGATGTTGTTGTTGATGTTGTTGATGATGTTGATGTTGTTATTGATGTTGTTGTTGATGTTAATGTTGATGTTGACGTTGATGTTGTTGATGTTAATGATGTTGATGATGTTGATGTTGTTGATGATGTTGTTGATGTTGATGTTATTCATGTTGTTGTTGATGTTAATGTTGTTGTTGATGTTGTTGATGATGTTGTTGTTGTTGATGTTGTTGACGATGTTATTGATGTTGTTGTTGATGTTGTTGTTGATGTTGGTGATGGTGATGATGTTGTTGATGTTGTTGATGATGTTGTTGATGTTGTTGATGTTGTTGTTGATGTTGTTGTTGATGTTGTTATTGTTGACGATGTTGTTGTTGATGTTGATGATGTTGTTGATGTTGTTGTTGTTGATGTTGTTGTTGATGATGTTGTTGATGATGTTGTTGATGATGTTGTTGATGTTGTTGTTAACGATGTTGTTGATGATGTTGTTGTTGTTGACGATGTTGTTGTTGTTGATGTTGATGTTGTTCATATTCTTAGTTTTTTCGGTAAAGTCACGTTGAAGGGAAACAACAAAATAACAAAATATATATAAAACAATAAAAAATTCTCACGACGTTTCGACCATAACTCAAACGGTCATCATCAGGTGTGTCGGTTTGCATAAATTTATTTTTTAAACGGTATTTATTTATTTATAAAAAACGTTAGCGTCACGTGCAGCGATTGGCTGTTTGCCCAGGACTAGTCCATCTATTTTTTTTATTGATGTTGTTGATGTTGTTGATGTTGTTGTTGTTGATGTTGTTGATGTTGATGATGTTGATGTTGTTGATGTTGTTGTTGATGTTGTTGTTAATGATGACAATGTTGTTTATGTTGTTGACGATGTTGTTGACGATATTGTTGATGTTGTTGATGTTAATGTTGTTAATGATGTTGTTGATGTTGTTGTTGATGTTGTTGTTGTTGATGTTGTTGTTGATGATGTTGTTGTTGATGATGTTGATGTTGTTGTTGATGATGATGTTGTTGATGATGTTGATGTTGTTGATGTTGTTGATGTTGTTGTTGATGTTGTTGTTGTTGATGATGTTGTTGTTGATGATGTTGATGTTGTTGATGTTGTTGTTGATGTTGTTGTTGTTGATGTTGTTGTTGATGTTGTTGTTGATGATGTTGTTGATGTTGTTGTTGATGTTGTTGTTGATGTTGTTGTTGATGTTATTGTTGATGTTGTTGTTGTTGATGTTGTTGATGTTGTTGTTGATGTTGTTGATGTTGATGATGTTGTTGTTGATGTTGTTGTTAATGATGACAATGTTGTTTATGTTGTTGACGATGTTGTTGACGATATTGTTGATGTTGTTGATGTTAATGTTGTTAATGATGTTGTTGATGTTGTTGTTGATGTTGTTGTTGTTGATGTTGTTGTTGATGATGTTGATGTTGTTGATGTTGTTGATGTTGTTGTTGATGTTGTTGTTGTTGATGATGTTGTTGTTGATGATGTTGATGTTGTTGATGTTGTTGTTGATGTTGTTGTTGTTGATGTTGTTGTTGATGTTGTTGTTGATGATGTTGTTGATGTTGTTGTTGATGTTGTTGTTGATGTTGTTGTTGATGTTGTTGTTGATGTTGTTGTTGATGTTGTTGTTGATGTTATTGTTGACGATGTTGGTGTTGATGTTAATGATGTTGTTGTTGATGTTGACGATGTTGTTTATGTTGTTGATGATGTTGATGTTGTTGTTGTTGTTGATGTTGACGATGTTGTTGATGATGTTGTTGATGTTAATGTTGATGTTGTTGATGATGTTGACGATGTTGTTGTTGATGATGTTGACGATGTTGTTGTTGATGATGTTGTTGTTGTTGATGTTGTTGATGTTAATGTTGTTGATGTTAATGTTGTTGATGTTGTTGACGATGTCCAGGTGTATTTGTCGCTGGTCCCCATCATCGCCGGCGTGCTCCTCGCCACCGCCACTGAGATATCCCTGGACTCGTGGGGTCTGGCCAGCGCCCTGATAGCCACGCTGTGCTTCAGCCTGCAAAACATCTTCTCAAAGAAGGTCTCTAACACATCACCTGCATCATCATCATCACCTACATCATCATCACCACCTACAACACCTACATCATCACCGTCAGCGCCCTGATAGCCACGCTGTGCTTCAGCCTGCAAAATATCTTCTCAAAGAAGGTCTCTAACACATCACCTGCATCATCACCTGCATCATCATCACCTACATCATCACCGTCAGCGCCCTGATAGCCACGCTGTGCTTCAGCCTGCAGAACATCTTCTCAAAGAAGGTCTCTTACACATCACCTGCATCATCACCTGCATCATCATCACCTACATCATCACCGTCAGCGCCCTGATAGCCACGCTGTGCTTCAGCCTGCAAAACATCTTCTCAAAGAAGGTCTCTAACACATCACCTACATCATCACCTGCATCATCATCACCTACATCATCACCGTCAGCGCCCTGATAGCCACGCTGTGCTTCAGCCTGCAAAACATCTTCTCAAAGAAGGTCTCTAACACATCACCTACATCATCACCTGCATCATCATCACCTACATCATCACCGTCAGCGCCCTGATAGCCACGCTGTGCTTCAGCCTGCAGAACATCTTCTCAAAGAAGGTCTCTTACACATCACCTGCATCATCATCATCATCACCTACATCATCACCTACAACATCTACATCATCATCATCATCACCGTCAGCGCCCTGATAGCCACGCTGTGCTTCAGCCTGCAGAACATCTTCTCAAAGAAGGTCTCTTACACACCTACATCATCACCTGCATCATCATCATCACCTACATCATCACCGTCAGCGCCCTGATAGCCACGCTGTGCTTCAGCCTGCAAAATATCTTCTCAAAGAAGGTCTCTAACACATCACCTGCATCATCATCATCACCTACATCATCATCACCACCTACAACACCTACATCATCACCGTCAGCGCCCTGATAGCCACGCTGTGCTTCAGCCTGAAAAACATCTTCTCAAAGAAGGTCTCTAACACATCACCTGCATCATCATCACCTGCATCATCACCTACATCACCACCTACAACACCTACATCATCACCGTCAGCGCCCTGATAGCCACGCTGTGCTTCAGCCTGCAAAACATCTTCTCAAAGAAGGTCTCTAACACATCACCTGCATCATCACCTGCATCATCATCACCTACATCATCACCGTCAGCGCCCTGATAGCCACGCTGTGCTTCAGCCTGCAGAACATCTTCTCAAAGAAGGTCTCTTACACACCTACATCATCACCTGCATCATCATCACCTACATCATCACCGTCAGTGCCCTGATAGCCACGCTGTGCTTCAGCCTGCAAAACATCTTCTCAAAGAAGGTCTCTTACACATCACCTGCATCATCAGCTGCATCATCATCATCACCGTCAGCGCCCTGATAGCCACGCTGTGCTTCAGCCTGCAAAACATCTTCTCAAAGAAGGTCTCTTACACACCTACATCATCACCTGCATCATCATCACCTACATCATCACCTGCATCATCATCATCACCTACATCATCACCGTCAGCGCCCTGATAGCCACGCTGTGCTTCAGCCTGCAGAACATCTTCTCAAAGAAGGTCTCTTACACACCTACATCATCACCTGCATCATCATCACCTACATCATCACCGTCAGCGCCCTGATAGCCACGCTGTGCTTCAGCCTGCAAAACATCTTCTCAAAGAAGGTCTCTTACACATCACCTGCATCATCATCATCATCATCATCACTTGCATCATCACCGTCAGCGCCCTGATAGCCACGCTGTGCTTCAGCCTGCAAAACATCTTCTCAAAGAAGGTCTCTTACACATCACCTGCATCATCATCATCATCATCACTTGCATCATCACCGTCAGCGCCCTGATAGCCACGCTGTGCTTCAGCCTGCAAAACATCTTCTCAAAGAAGGTCTCTTACACATCACCTGCATCATCATCATCATCACTTGCATCATCACCGTCAGCGCCCTGATAGCCACGCTGTGCTTCAGCCTGCAAAACATCTTCTCAAAGAAGGTCTCTTACACATCACCTGCATCATCATCACCTGCATCATCACCTACAACATCTACATCATCATCATCATCACCGTCAGCGCCCTGATAGCCACGCTGTGCTTCAGCCTGCAAAACATCTTCTCAAAGAAGGTCTCTTACACATCACCTACATCATCATCACCTGCATCATCATCATCACCTACATCATCACCGTCAGCGCCCTGATAGCCACGCTGTGCTTCAGCCTGCAAAACATCTTCTCAAAGAAGGTCTCTTACACACCTACATCATCACCTGCATCATCATCATCACCTACATCATCACCGTCAGCGCCCTGATAGCCACGCTGTGCTTCAGCCTGCAAAACATCTTCTCAAAGAAGGTCTCTTACACATCACCTGCATCATCATCATCATCATCACTTGCATCATCACCGTCAGCGCCCTGATAGCCACGCTGTGCTTCAGCCTACAGAACATCTTCTCAAAGAAGGTCTCTAACACATCACCTGCATCATCATCACCTACATCATCACCGTCAGCGCCCTGATAGCCACGCTGTGCTTCAGCCTGCAAAACATCTTCTCAAAGAAGGTCTCTAACACATCACCTGCATCATCATCACCTGCATCATCACCTACAACATCTACATCATCATCATCATCATCACCGCCAGCGCCCTGATAGCCACGCTGTGCTTCAGCCTGCAAAACATCTTCTCAAAGAAGGTCTCTAACACATCACCTGCATCATCATCATCATCACCTACATCATCACCGTCAGCGCCCTGATAGCCACGCTGTGCTTCAGCCTGCAGAACATCTTCTCAAAGAAGGTCTCTTACACACCTACATCATCACCTGCATCATCATCATCATCACTTGCATCATCACCGTCAGCGCCCTGATAGCCACGCTGTGCTTCAGCCTGCAAAACATCTTCTCAAAGAAGGTCTCTAACACATCACCTGCATCATCATCACCACCTACACCACCATCACCATCACCTACACCATCACGATCACCATCAGCGCCCTGATAGCCACGCTGTGCTTCAGCCTGCAAAACATCTTCTCAAAGAAGGTCTCTTACACACCTACATCACCTGCATCATCATCACCATCACCTACATCACCACCTACACCACCATCACGATCACCGTCAGCGCCCTGATAGCCACTCTGTGCTTCAGCCTGCAAAACATCTTCTCAAAGAAGGTCTCTTACACACCTACATCATCACCTGCATCATCATCATCACCTACATCATCACCTACACCACCATCACGATCACCGTCAGCGCCCTGATAGCCACGCTGTGCTTCAGCCTGCAAAACATCTTCTCAAAGAAGGTCTCTTACACACCTACATCATCACCTGCATCATCATCACCTACATCATCACCGTCAGCGCCCTGATAGCCACGCTGTGCTTCAGCCTGCAGAACATCTTCTCAAAGAAGGTCTCTAACACATCACCTGCATCATCATCACCTGCATCATCACCTACAACATCTACATCATCATCATCATCACCGTCAGCGCCCTGATAGCCACGCTGTGCTTCAGCCTGCAAAACATCTTCTCAAAGAAGGTCTCTAACACATCACCTGCATCATCATCATCACCTGCATCATCATCACCACCTACACCACCATCACCATCACCTACACCATCACGATCACCATCAGCGCCCTGATAGCCACGCTGTGCTTCAGCCTGCAAAACATCTTCTCAAAGAAGGTCGCTTACACACCTACATCATCACCTGCATCATCATCATCACCTACATCATCACCACCATCATCATCATCACCTGCATCATCACCTACAACATCATCATCATCATCACCGTCAGCGCCCTGATAGCCACGCTGTGCTTCAGCCTGCAAAACATCTTCTCAAAGAAGGTCTCTAACACATCTACATCACCTGCATCATCATCATCACCTACATCATCACCACCATCATCATCATCACCTACATCATCATCACCACCTACAACACCTACATCATCACCGTCAGCGCCCTGATAGCCACGCTGTGCTTCAGCCTGCAAAACATCTTCTCAAAGAAGGTCTCTAACACATCACCTGCATCATCATCACCACCTACATCACCTACATCACCTACAACATCTACACCACCATCATCTACATCATCACCTGCATCACCATCACCACCTACATCACCACCTATACCACCATCACCTACACCATCATCACCATCACCTGCATCATCTACATCATCAACTGCATCACCTACATCACCACCATCACCACCATCATCACCTACATCACCTACATCACCTACATCATCATCATCACCTGCATCATCATCATCACCTGCATCATCATCATCATCATCACCTACATCACCTACATCACCTACATCATCATCATCACCTGCATCATCATCATCACCTGCATCATCATCATCATCATCACCTGCATCACCTACATCATCACCTACATCACCTACATCATCACCTGCATCACCATCATCACCTACACCATCATCACCATCATCACCTGCATGACCTACATCACCATCATCACCTGCATCACCATCATCACCTACACCATCATCACCATCACCACCATCACCAGCATCATCACCTACATCACCTACATCATCATCACAAAGTAGTCCCTCACACGCCCCGTGATACGTCAACAAAGTAGTCCCTCACACTCCCCGCCCAGGGATACATCAACAAAGTAGTCCCTCACACTCCCCGGGATACGTCAACAAAGTAGTCCCTCACACTCCCCGTGATACGTCAACAAAGTAGTCCCTCACACTCCCCGTGATACATCAACAAAGTAGTCCCTCACACTCCCCGCCCAGGGATACATCAACAAAGTAGTCCCTCACACTCCCCGGGATACGTCAACAAAGTAGTCCCTCACACTCCCCGGGATACGTCAACAAAGTAGTCCCTCACACTCCCCGTGATACGTCAATAAAGTAGTCCCTCACACTCCCCGCCCAGGGATACATCAACAAAGTAGTCCCTCACTCTCCCCGCCCAGGGATACGTCAACAAAGTAGTCCCTCACACTCCCCGTGATACGTCAACAAAGTAGTCCCTCACACTCCCCGTGATACGTCAATAAAGTAGTCCCTCACACTCCCCGCCCAGGGATACATCAACAAAGTAGTCCCTCACTCTCCCCGCCCCGTGATACATCAACAAAGTAGTCCCTCACACTCCCCGCCCCGTGATACGTCAACAAAGTAGTCCCTCACACTCCCCGCCCAGGGATACGTCAACAAAGTAGTCCCTCAAACTCCCCGTGATACATCAACAAAGTAGTCCCTCAAACTCCCCGCCCCGTGATACGTCAACAAAGTAGTCCCTCACACTCCCCGTGATACGTCAACAAAGTAGTCCCTCACACTCCCCGCCCCGTGATACATCAACAAAGTAGTCCCTCACACTCCCCGTGATACGTCAACAAAGTAGTCCCTCACACTCCCCGCCCCGGGATACATCAACAAAGTAGTCCCTCTCACTCCCCGCCCAGAGATACATCAACAAAGTAGTCCCTCACACTCCCTGTGATACGTCAACAAAGTAGTCCCTCACACTCCCCGCCCCGTGATACGTCAACAAAGTAGTCCCTCACACTCCCCCGCCCAGGGATACATCAACAAAGTAGTCCCTCACACTCCCCGCCCAGGGATACATCAACAAAGTAGTCCCTCACACTCCCCGCCCCGTGATACATCAACAAAGTAGTCCCTCACACTCCCCGCCCCGTGATACGTCAACAAAGTAGTCCCTCACACTCCCCGTGATACGTCAACAAAGTAGTCCCTCACACTCCCCGCCCAGGGATACGTCAACAAAGTAGTCCCTCACACTCCCCGTGATACGTCAACAAAGTAGTCCCTCACACTCCCCGCCCAGGGATACATCAACAAAGTAGTCCCTCACACTCCCCGTGATACGTCAACAAAGTAGTCCCTCACACTCCCCGTGATACATCAACAAAGTAGTCCCTCACACTCCCCGCCCAGGGATACATCAACAAAGTAGTCCCTCACACTCCCCGGGATACGTCAACAAAGTAGTCCCTCACACTCCCCGGGATACGTCAACAAAGTAGTCCCTCACACTCCCCGTGATACGTCAATAAAGTAGTCCCTCACACTCCCCGCCCAGGGATACATCAACAAAGTAGTCCCTCACTCTCCCCGCCCAGGGATACGTCAACAAAGTAGTCCCTCACACTCCCCGTGATACGTCAACAAAGTAGTCCCTCACACTCCCCGTGATACGTCAATAAAGTAGTCCCTCACACTCCCCGCCCAGGGATACATCAACAAAGTAGTCCCTCACTCTCCCCGCCCCGTGATACATCAACAAAGTAGTCCCTCACTCTCCCCGCCCCGTGATACATCAACAAAGTAGTCCCTCACACTCCCCGCCCCGTGATACGTCAACAAAGTAGTCCCTCACACTCCCCGCCCAGGGATACGTCAACAAAGTAGTCCCTCACACTCCCCGCCCAGGGATACATCAACAAAGTAGTCCCTCACACTCCCCGCCCAGGGATACATCAACAAAGTAGTCCCTCACTCTCCCCGCCCCGTGATACATCAACAAAGTAGTCCCTCACACTCCCCGCCCAGGGATACGTCAACAAAGTAGTCCCTCACACTCCCCGCCCAGGGATACGTCAACAAAGTAGTCCCTCACACTCCCCGCCCAGGGATACGTCAACAAAGTAGTCCCTCACACTCCCCGTGATACGTCAACAAAGTAGTCCCTCACACTCCCCGCCCAGGGATACGTCAACAAAGTAGTCCCTCACACTCCCCGCCCAGGGATACATCAACAAAGTAGTCCCTCACACTCCCCGTGATACGTCAATAAAGTAGTCCCTCACACTCCCCGCCCAGGGATACGTCAACAAAGTAGTCCCTCACTCTCCCCGCCCAGGGATACGTCAACAAAGTAGTCCCTCACACTCCCCGCCCAGGGATACATCAACAAAGTAGTCCCTCACACTCCCCGCCCAGGGATACATCAACAAAGTAGTCCCTCACACTCCCCGCCCAGGGATACATCAACAAAGTAGTCCCTCACACTCCCCGCCCAGGGATACTTCAACAAAGTAGTCCCTCACACTCCCCGCCCAGGGATACATCAACAAAGTAGTCCCTCACACTCCCCGCCCAGGGATACATCAACAAAGTAGTTCCTCACTCTCCCCGCCCCGTGATACATCAACAAAGTAGTCCCTCAAACTCCCCGCCCCGTGATACGTCAACAAAGTAGTCCCTCACACTCCCCGTGATACGTCAACAAAGTAGTCCCTCACACTCCCCGCCCCGTGATACATCAACAAAGTAGTCCCTCACACTCCCCGTGATACGTCAACAAAGTAGTCCCTCACACTCCCCGCCCCGGGATACATCAACAAAGTAGTCCCTCTCACTCCCCGCCCAGAGATACATCAACAAAGTAGTCCCTCACACTCCCTGTGATACGTCAACAAAGTAGTCCCTCACACTCCCCGCCCCGTGATACGTCAACAAAGTAGTCCCTCACACTCCCCCGCCCAGGGATACATCAACAAAGTAGTCCCTCACACTCCCCGCCCAGGGATACATCAACAAAGTAGTCCCTCACACTCCCCGCCCCGTGATACATCAACAAAGTAGTCCCTCACACTCCCCGCCCCGTGATACGTCAACAAAGTAGTCCCTCACACTCCCCGTGATACGTCAACAAAGTAGTCCCTCACACTCCCCGCCCAGGGATACGTCAACAAAGTAGTCCCTCACACTCCCCGTGATACGTCAACAAAGTAGTCCCTCACACTCCCCGCCCCGGGATACATCAACAAAGTAGTCCCTCACACTCCCCGTGATACGTCAACAAAGTAGTCCCTCACACTCCCCGTGATACATCAACAAAGTAGTCCCTCACACTCCCCGCCCAGGGATACATCAACAAAGTAGTCCCTCACACTCCCCGGGATACGTCAACAAAGTAGTCCCTCACACTCCCCGGGATACGTCAACAAAGTAGTCCCTCACACTCCCCGTGATACGTCAATAAAGTAGTCCCTCACACTCCCCGCCCAGGGATACATCAACAAAGTAGTCCCTCACTCTCCCCGCCCAGGGATACGTCAACAAAGTAGTCCCTCACACTCCCCGTGATACGTCAACAAAGTAGTCCCTCACACTCCCCGTGATACGTCAATAAAGTAGTCCCTCACACTCCCCGCCCAGGGATACATCAACAAAGTAGTCCCTCACTCTCCCCGCCCCGTGATACATCAACAAAGTAGTCCCTCACTCTCCCCGCCCCGTGATACATCAACAAAGTAGTCCCTCACACTCCCCGCCCCGTGATACGTCAACAAAGTAGTCCCTCACACTCCCCGCCCAGGGATACGTCAACAAAGTAGTCCCTCACACTCCCCGCCCAGGGATACATCAACAAAGTAGTCCCTCACACTCCCCGCCCCGGGATACATCAACAAAGTAGTCCCTCACTCTCCCCGCCCCGTGATACATCAACAAAGTAGTCCCTCACACTCCCCGCCCAGGGATACGTCAACAAAGTAGTCCCTCACACTCCCCGCCCAGGGATACGTCAACAAAGTAGTCCCTCACACTCCCCGCCCAGGGATACGTCAACAAAGTAGTCCCTCACACTCCCCGTGATACGTCAACAAAGTAGTCCCTCACACTCCCCGCCCAGGGATACGTCAACAAAGTAGTCCCTCACACTCCCCGCCCAGGGATACATCAACAAAGTAGTCCCTCACACTCCCCGAGATACGTCAATAAAGTAGTCCCTCACACTCCCCGCCCAGGGATACGTCAACAAAGTAGTCCCTCACTCTCCCCGCCCAGGGATACGTCAACAAAGTAGTCCCTCACACTCCCCGCCCAGGGATACATCAACAAAGTAGTCCCTCACACTCCCCGCCCAGGGATACATCAACAAAGTAGTCCCTCACACTCCCCGCCCAGGGATACATCAACAAAGTAGTCCCTCACACTCCCCGCCCAGGGATACGTCAACAAAGTAGTCCCTCACACTCCCCGCCCCGTGATACATCAACAAAGTAGTCCCTCAAACTCCCCGCCCCGTGATACATCAACAAAGTAGTCCCTCAAACTCCCCGCTCCGTGATACGTCAACAAAGTAGTCCCTCACTCTCCCCGCCCAGGGATACGTCAACAAAGTAGTCCCTCACTCTCCCCGCCCAGGGATACGTCAACAAAGTAGTCCCTCACTCTCCCCGCCCAGGGATACGTCAACAAAGTAGTCCCTCAAACTCCCCGTGATACGTCAACAAAGTAGTCCCTCACACTCCCCGTGATACGTCAATAAAGTAGTCCCTCACACTCCCCGCCCAGGGATACATCAACAAAGTAGTTCCTCACTCTCCCCGCCCCGTGATACATCAACAAAGTAGTCCCTCACACTCCCCGCCCCGTGATACGTCAACAAAGTAGTCCCTCACACTCCCCGCCCAGGGATACATCAACAAAGTAGTCCCTCACACTCCCCGCCCAGGGATACGTCAACAAAGTAGTCCCTCACACTCCCCGTGATACGTCAACAAAGTAGTCCCTCACACTCCCCGCCCAGGGATACGTCAACAAAGTAGTCCCTCACACTCCCCGCCCAGGGATACGTAAAGTAGTCCCTCACACTCCTCCTCAGATGCTGCGGGATACGGGCATGCACCACCTGCGGCTGCTTTACCTGCTGGGGCGACTCGCGCTGATTTTCATGGTCCCCACGTGGGTCTACTTTGATGGAGTGGACTTCCTGCGGATGGATTTCACGGTGGGTTGTGATGAGGTCGTGGGGTGGGGTGAGTGGGTGAGTGAGTGGGTGAGTGAGTGAGTGGGTGAGTGAGTGGGTGGGTGAGTGAGTGGGTGGGTGGGTGAGTGAGTGAGTGGGTGAGTGGGTGAGTGAGTGGGTGAGTGAGTGAGTGAGTGAATGGGTGAGTGAGTGGGTGAGTGAGTGAATGGGTGAGTGGGTGAGTGAGTGGGTGAGTGAGTGGGTGAGTGGGTGAGTGAGTGGGTGAGTGGGCGAGTGAGTGGGTGAGTGGGTGAGTGAGTGGGTGGGTGAGTGGGTGAGTGAGTGGGTGAGTGAGTGAGTGGGTGAGTGGGTGGGTGAGTGAGTGAGTGGGTGAGTGAGTGGGTGGGTGAGTGGGTGAGTGGGTGAGTGAGTGGGTGAGTGAGTGAGTGAGGAGTGAGTGAGTGAGTGGGTGGGTGAGTGAGTGGGTGAGTGAGTGAGTGGGTGAGTGGGTGAGTGAGTGGGTAGGTGGGTGAGTGAGTGAGTGAGCGAGTGAGTGAGTGGGTGAGTGAGTGAGTGAGTGAGCGAGTGAGTGGGTGGGTGAGTGAGTGGGTGAGTGAGTGAGTGGGTGAGTGGGTGGGTGGGTGAGTGAGTGGGTGAGTGAGTGGGTGAGTGGGTGAGTGAGTGGGTAGGTGGGTGAGTGAGTGAGTGAGCGAGTGAGTGAGTGGGTGAGTGAGTGAGTGGGTGAGTGAGTGAGTGAGCGAGTGGGTGAGTTGGTGAGTGGGTGGGTGAGTGAGTGAGTGGGTGAGTGGGTGAGTGGGTGGGTGAGTGGGTGGGTGGGTGTTTGAGTGGGTGAGTGAGTGGGTGAGTGCGTGGGTGAGTGGGTGAGAGGGTGAGTGAGTAAGTGAGTGAGTGAGTGGATGAGTGGCTGAGTGAGTGAGTGGCTGAGTGAGTGAGTGAGTAAGTGGGTGAGTAAGTGAGTGAGTGGGTGAGTGAGTGGATGAGTGGGTGAGTGAGTGAGTGGGTGGGTGAGTGAGTGGTTGAGTGAGTGAGTGGATGAGTGGGTGAGTGAGTAAGTGGGTGAGTAAGTGAGTGAGTGGGTGAGTGGCTGAGTGAGTGAGTGGATGAGTGGGTGAGTGAGTAAGTGAGTGAGTGAGTGGGTGAGTGGCTGAGTGAGTGGCTGAGTGAGTGAGTGGGTGAGTGAGTGGATGAGTGGGTGAGTGAGTAAGTGGGTGAGTGAGTGAGTGGTTGATTGAGTGTCTGAGTGTCTGAGTGACTAGCTAAATGTCCCTCTAACCCACCCACCATCTCTCCCACCCACTCTCCCACCCACCCACCATCTCTCCCACCCACTCTCCCACCCACCCACCATCTCTCTCTCCCACCCACCCACCCACCAGACCAGCGTGAGTGAGTGGTCCTGGCTGCTTCTTCTCACTCTCAGCAGTTTCTGCAACTTTGCCCAGAACGTGTCTCTCTGTCTCTCTGTCTCTCTGTGTCTCTCTGTGTCTGTCTCTCTGTCTGTCTGTGTCTCTCTGTCTGTCTGGATGGGTGGGTGGGTGAGTGAGTGGCTGAGTGAGTGAGTGGCTGAGTGAGTGAGTGGATTAGTGAGTGAGTGAGTAAGTGAGTGAGTAAGTGAGTGAGTGGGTGAGTGAGTGAGTGAGTGGGTGAGTGGGTGGGTGGGTGAGTGAGTAAGTGGGTGAGTAAGTGAGTGGGTGAGTGAGTGGGTGAGTGAGTGGGTGAGTGAGTGGCTGAGTGAGTGAGTGAGTGGGTGAGTGAGTGGATGAGTGGGTGAGTGAGTAAGTGGGTGAGTAAGTGAGTGAGTGGGTGAGTGAGTGGATGAGTGGGTGAGTGAGTGAGTCGGTGGGTGAATGAGTGAGTGGTTGATTGAGTGGCTGAGTGAGTGAGTGAGTGGCTGAGTGAGTGGCTGAGTAAGTGAGTGAGTGGGTGAGTGAGTGGCTCAGTGAGTGAGTGGGTGAGTGAGTGAGTGGTTGATTGAGTGTCTGAGTGACTCGCTGAATGTACCTCTAACCCACCCACCATCTCTCCCACCCACCCACCATCTCTCTCTCCCACCCACCATCTCTCCCACCCACCAGACCAGCGTGAGTGAGTGGTCCTGGCTGCTGCTTCTTCTCACTCTCAGCGGTTTCTGCAACTTTGCCCAGAACCTGGTGGCCTTCAGCGTTCTGAACCTCGTTAGTCCGGTGTCATACTCAGTGGCCAACGCTACCAAAAGGATCGTGGTGGTGGCTGTGTCCTTGATGCTTCTCAGGAACCCCGTCACGGGACTCAACATCACCGGGATGATGATCGCGATCCTGGGGGTACTAGCGTACAATAAGGTGGGTGGGGAGTGTGGGTGTGGGTGGAGTGTGGGTGGAGTGTGGGTGGAGTGTGGAGGGTGGGTGGGAGGGTGGGTGGGTGGGTGGGAGGGTGATTGGGTGGGTGGGTGGGTGAGTGGGTGGATGACTGACTGACTGACTGAGTCACTGACTAACTGACTGACTGATTGACTAACTGACTGACTGAGTGAGTGACTGCCTGACTAACTGAGTAACTGACTGAGCGACTGACTGACTAACTGACTGATTGACTGACTGACTAACTGACTGACTGAGTCACTGACTAACTGACTGACTAACTGACTGAGTGACTGCCTGACTAACTGAGTAACTGACTGAGCGACTGACTGACTAACTGACTGAGCGACTGACTGACTAACTGACTGATTGACTGACTGACTAACTGACTGACTGAGTGACTGACTAACTTACTGACTAACTGACTGAGCGACTGCCTGACTAACTGAGTAACTGACTGAGCGACTGACTAACTGACTGACTGATTGACTGACTGACTAACTGACTGACTCACGGACTGACTGAGTGACTGACTGAGTGACTGACTGAGTGACTGACTGAGTGACTGACTAACTGACTGACTCACGGACTGACTGACTAACTAACCTACTGACAGAGAGTGACTGACTAACTGACTTACTGACTAACTGACTGACTAACCTACTGACTACCTGACTGAGCAACTGACTAACTGACTGACTGACTAACTAACTGACTGACTCACTGACTGACTAATTACTGACTGACTAACTGACTGACTAACCTACTGACTGACTAACCTACTGACTAACTAACTGAGTTACTAACTAACCTACTGACTAACTGACTAACTAACCGAGTAACTAACTAACCTACTAACTAACTAACCTACTGACTGACTAACTGACTGACTAACCTACTAACTGACTAACCTACTGACTGCCTGACTGACTGACTGACTAACTAACCTACTGACTACCTTACTGAGCGGCTGACTAACTGACTAACTAACTGACTAACTAACTAACAGACTGAGTGACTAACCTACTGACTAACTAACTGACTGACTAACTAACCTACTGACTAACTGACTGACTAACTGACTAACTAACCTACTGACTAACTGACTAACTGACTGACTAACAGCCTGACTGACTAACCTACTGACTGACTAACAGACTGACTGACTAACCTACTGACTGACTAACAGACTGACTGACTAACCTACTGACTGACTAACAGACTGACTGACTAACCTACTGACTGACTGACTAACTAACTGACTGACTAACTAACTGACTAACTGACTAATTACTAACTGACTGACTAACTGAGTGACTGACTAACTAACTGACTAACTGCCTGACTGACTAACCTACTGACTAACGTACTGACTAACTGACTAACTAACTGACTAACTAACTGACTAACTGACTAACCTACTGACTAACTGACTGACTAACTAACCTACTGACTAACTGACTGACTAACAGCCTGACTGACTAACCTACTGACTGACTAACAGACTGACTAACTAACTGACTGACTAACTGACTGACTAACTAACCTACCGACTAACTAACTAACTGACTTACTAACTGACTGACTAACAGACTGACTGACTAACCTACTGACTAACTAACTGACTGACTAACTGACTAACTAACTGACTCACTGACTGACTAATTACTAACTGACTGACTAACTGACTAACTAACTGACTGACTAACTAACTGACTAACCTACTGACTAACTGACTGACTGACTCACTAACTGACTAACCTACTGACTAACTAACTGACTGACTAACTAACTGACTGACTAACTGGCTGACTAACAGACTGACTGACTAACCTACTGACTGACTAACTAACTGACTGACTAACTGACTAACTAACTGACTGACTGACTAATTACTAACTGACTGACTAACTGACTAACTGACTAACTAACTAACTGACTAACAAACTGACTAACTGACTAACTGATTAACTGCCTGACTGACTAACCTACTGACTAACTGACTAACTAACTAACTGACTAACTGACTAACTAACTGACTAGCTAACTGACTAACTGACTAACCTACTGACTAACTGACTGACTGACTGACTAACTGACTAACCTACTGACTAACTAACCTACTAACTGACTAACTGACTAATTGACTGACTAACCTACTGACCAACCTACTGACTAACCTACTGACTGACTGACTGACTAACTAACTGACTAACTGATTAACTAACTGACTAACCTACTGACTACCTAACTAACTGACTAACTGACTAACTAACCTACTAACTGACTAACTAACTGACTGACTAACAGACTAACTAACTGACTAACTAACTGACTAACCTACTGACTAACCTACTGACTAACCTACTGACTAACCTACTGACTAACCTACTGACTAACCTACTGACTGACTGACTAACAGCCTGACTGACTAACCTACTGACTGACTAACTAACTGACTGACTAACTGACTAACTAACTGACTGACTGACTAATTACTAACTGACTGACTAACTGACTAACTGACTAACTAACTAACTGACTAACAAACTGACTAACTGACTAGCTAACTGACTAACTGACTAACCTACTGACTAACTGACTGACTGACTGACTAACTGACTAACCTACTGACTAACTAACCTACTAACTGACTAACTGACTAATTGACTGACTAACCTACTGACCAACCTACTGACTAACCTACTGACTGACTGACTGACTAACTAACTGACTAACTGATTAACTAACTGACTAACCTACTGACTACCTAACTAACTGACTAACTAACCTACTAACTGACTAACTAACTGACTGACTAACAGACTAACTGACTAATTAACTGACTAACCTACTGACTAACCTACTGACTAACCTACTGACTAACCTACTGACTAACCTACTAACTAACCTACTGACTGACTCACTGACTGCCCCGTTATCTCTCCCCCGCCCTCCCGCCCTGCCAGGCCAAGTTGGATTCTTCCGGCAATCACAAATCTCCACTCCTGCCGCTCGTCACAGATTTGGATCATCATCATCATCATCAGCAGCCTCAGCCTCAGCAGCATCATCATCAGCAGCATCAGCAGCATCATCAGCAGCATCAGCAGCAGCAAAAGTCCCCAAAGATTTTTGGAGGGGGTCATTTTTTGAGCGTCTGATGGTCACAGGGGCGTGCGGTTAATAGGGGAATTAGTAGGGGAGGGAATTAGTAGGGGACTTAGTAGGGTGGGGGGCGCGTGGGCGGGGAGGGATTATTATAGTAGGGGAATTAGTAGGTGGGAGGGAGTTAGTAGGGGAGGAATGATAGGGCATTGAAAGGGAATGATAGAGGCTTAGTATGGGATTAGTATGGGATTAGTATGGGATTAGTATGGGATTAGTGGCGGACGACCCGGTTGTGACGGTGGCCGGGAGGTGCGGGGGTGGGGCTGGTCTTGTTTTGGGTCGGGAGGTTATAGGGGAAAGTGTTATAGGGTTGGAGTGGTTATAGGGGACCGGGATATAGGGCTGTAGGGTTCTGTATGGGATGCAGGTTTATAGGGGATGTGAGGTGTAGGGTTCTGTATGGGATGCAGGGTTATAGGGGATGTAAGGTGTTGGGTTCTGTATGGGATGCAGGTTTATAGGGGATGTGAGGTGTAGGGTTCTATATGGGATGCAGGGTTATAGGGGATGTAAGGTGTTGGGTTCTGTATGGGATGCAGGGTTATAGGGGATGTGAGGTGTAGGGTTCTGTATGGGATGCAGGGTTATAGGGGATATGAGGTGTAGGATTATTATAGTCTGCATCCTAATATCATTCATGAACAGACACACACACCTACACACACACCTACACACACACACCTACACACACACTTACACACTAACACACACACCTACACACACACACACCTACACACACACATACACACACCTACACACACACACTGACACACACACCTACACACACACACACCTACACACACACCTACACACACACCTACACACACACCTACACACACCTACACACACACACACCTACACACACACCTACACACACACACACCTACACACACCTACAAACACACACCTACACACACACCTACACACCTCCACACAGAAACACACATACACACACCTACACACACACACGTACACACACACACACCTACACACCTACACACACACCTACATACACACCTACACACACACCCCTACACACAAACACCTACACACACACACCTACACACACACCTACACACACACCTACACACACGCACCTACACACACACCTACACACACGCACCTACACACACACCTACACACACACACTGACACACACACCTACACACACACACCTACACACACACCTACACACACACACACACCTACACACACACCTACACACACACACCTACACACACACACCTACACACACACACACTAACACACACACACCTACACACACCTCCACACACACCTACACATACACACCTACACACACACACCTACACACACACCTACACACACACACACCTACACACACACACCTACACACACACCTACACACCTACACACACACACACCTACACACACACACCTACACACACCTACACACACCTACACACACACACCTACACACACACCTACACACACCTACACACACACATACACACACCTACACACACACCTACACACCTCCACACAGACACACACACCCACACACTAACACACACACCTACACACACACCCACACACACACCTACACACAGACACACCTACACACACAAATATACACACACACCTACACACACACCTACACACACCCACACACACACACCTACACACAGACACACCTACACACATACACACACACCTACACACACACCTACACACACACACCTACACACACCTACACACACACTAACACACACACACTAACACACACACACCTACACACCCACACACTAACACACCCACCCACACCACAGGCGTTTGTGAGTTATCACAGCTGCCATGTGTGGTTAAGTAGGTAGGGTAGCCGAAACGTCGGACTCAAATCAGACGTGTCTCTCACACTGCCGGGATTGTATTATTGTTGTTATTAATTTATACAGCACATGACTCTATCTGAACGACAGCAAAACTCTTTGAGATTTCGCTGTGCGTGTGAGTGAGTGTGTGTTAGTGTGTGTGTGTTAGTGTGTGTGTGTGAGTGTGTGTGTGTTAGTGTGTGTGTTAGTGTGTGTGTGTGTGTGTGAGTGTGTGTGTGTTAGTGTGTGTGTTAGTGTGTGTGTTAGTGTGTGTGTGTGTTAGTGTGTGTGTGTGTTAGTGTGTGTGTGTTAGTGTGTGTGTTAGTGTGTGTGTGTGTTAGTGTGTGTGTGTTAGTGTGTGTGTGTTATTGTGTGTGTGTTATTGTGTGTGTGTTAGTGTGTGTGTGTGTTAGTGTGTGTGTGTTAGTGTGTGTGTTAGTGTGTGTGTGTTAGTGTGTGTGTTAGTGTGTGTGTGTGTTAGTGTGTGTGTGTGTGTTTAGTGTGTAGTGTGTGTGTGTTAGTGTGTAGTGTGTGTGTGTTAGTGTGTGTGTGTTTAGTGTGTGTGTGTTAGTGTGTGTGTGTTAGTGTGTGTATGTTAGTGTGTGTGTGAGTGTGTGTGTGTGTTAGTGTGTGTGTGTGAGTGTGTGTGTTAGTGTGTGTGTGTGTGTTAGTGTGTGTTAGTGTGTGTGTGTTAGTGTGTGTGTGTTAGTGTGTGTGTGTTAGTGTGTGTGTGTTAGTGTGTGTGTGAGTGTGTGTGTGTGTTAGTGTGTGAGTGTGTGTGTTAGTGTGTGTTAGTGTGTGTGTGTGTGTTAGTGTGTGTGTGTGTTAGTGTGTGTGTGTTAGTGTGTGTGTGTTAGTGTGTGTTTGTATGTGTGTTAGTGTGTGTGTGTTAGTGTGAGTGTGTGTTAGTGTGTGTGAGTGTGTGTTAGTGTGTGTGAGTGTGTGTGTTAGTGTGTGTGTAGGTGTGTTAGTGTGTGTGTGTTAGTGTGTGTGTGTTAGTGTGTGTGTGTTAGTGTGTGTTTGTGTGTGTTAGTGTGTGTGTTAGTGTGTGTGTGTTAGTGTGTGTGTGTTAGTGTGTGTGTGTTGGTGTGTGTGTGTTGGTGTGTGTGTGTTAGTGAGTGTGTGTGTGTTAGTGAGTGTGTGTGTGTTAGTGTGTGTTAGTGTGTGTGTTAGTGTGTGTGTGTTAGTATGTGTGTGTGTTAGTGTGTGTGTGTTAGTGTGTCTGTGTGAGTGTGTGTGTGTGAGTGTGTGTGTGTTAGTGTGTGTGTGTTAGTGTGTGTGTTAGTGTGTGTGTGTTACTGTGTGTTTGTATGTGTGTTAGTGTGTGTGTGTGTGTTAGTGTGTGTGTGAGTGTGTGTTAGTGTGTGTGAGTGTGTGTTAGTGTGTGTGAGTGTGTGTGTTAGTGTGTGTTAGTGAGTGTGTAGGTGTGTGTGTGTGTTAGTGTGTGTTAGTGTGTGAGTGTGTGTGTTAGTGTGTTAGTGAGTGTGTGTGTGTTAGTGTGTGTGTTAGTGTGAGTGTGTGTGTTAGTGTGTGTGAGTGTGTGTTAGTGTGTTAGTGAGTGTGTGTTAGTGTGTGTGAGTGTGTGTTAGTGTGTGTTAGTGTGTGTGTTTTAGTGAATGTGTGAGTGTGTGTGTTAGTGAGTGTGTGTGTGAGTGTGTGTGTTAGTGAGTGTGTGTTAGTGAGTGTGTGTTAGTTTGTGTGTGTTAGTGAGTGTGTGTTAGTGTGTGTGTGTTAGTTTGACTTCATTTTTCTCGCTGTTGGTTATCGCGATGTTGACCTGTTGTACATACTTGGCAAAGTTGTGTTGGTGGTCGCGATTGGACGTTCAATTAACGGTGAATAAACAGATTATTGTGGCAGGGAGAGACATTCACTTGGATTGATGTCCACCCAGCCACTCACTCACCCAGCCACTCACTCAGCCACTCACTCAGCCACTCACTCACCCAGCCACTCACTCAGCCACTCACTCACCCAGCCACTCAAGCAGCCACTCACCCACTCACTCAGTCACTCACTTACCCAGCCACTCACTCACCCACTCACTCACCCAGCCACTCAGCCACTCACCCAGCCACTCACTCACCCAGCCACTCAGCCACTCACTCAACCACTCGCTCACTCAGCCACTGACTCCCTCAGCCACTCACTCACTCACTCAGCCATTCACTCAGCCACTCACTCACTCAGCCACTCACTCAGCCACTTACTCAGCCATTCACTCAGCCACTCACCCAGCCACTCACTCAGCCACTCACTCAGCCACTCACTCACTCAGCCACTCACCCAGCCACTCGCTCAGCCACTCACTCAGCCACTCACTCAGCCACTCACTCAGCCATTCACTCAGCCACTCACTCAGCCACTCAACCAGCCACTCACCCACTCACTCAGTCACTCACTCACCCAGCCACTCACTCACTCAGCCACTCACTCAGCCACTCACCCACTCACTCAGTCACTCACTCACTCACCCAGCCACTCACTCACTCACTCAGCCACTCACCCAGCCACTCACTCAGTCAGCCGCTCACCCAGCCACTCACTCAGCCACACACTCAGCCACTCACTCAGCCACTCACTCAGCCACTCACCCAGCCACTCACTCAGCCACTCACTCAGCCACTCACTCACTCAGCCACTCACTCAGGCATTCACTCAGCCACTCACCCAGCCACTCACTCAGCCACTCACTCAGCCACTCACCCACTCACTCAGCCACTCACCCAGCCACTCACCCAGCCACTCACTCAGCCACTCACTCAGCTACTCACTCACTCAGACACTCACCCACCCACTCACTCAGCCACTCACTCAACCACTCAACCAGCTACTCACTCAGACACTCACTCACCCACTCACTCACCCACCCACTCAGCCACTCAACCAGCCACTCACTCAGACACTCACCCTCCCACTCACTCAGACACTCACCCACCCACTCACTCAGCCACTCACCCACCCACACACTCAGCCACTCACTCAACCACTCAACCAGCCACTCACTCACTCAGACACTCACCCACTCACTCACCCACCCACTCAGCCACTCAACCAGCCACTCACTCAGACACTCACCCACCCACTCACTCAGCCACTCACTCAACCACTCAACCAGCCACTCACTCACTCAGACACTCACTCACCCACTCACTCACCCACCCACTCAGCCACTCAACCAGCCACTCACTCAG